TACCTTGCAAGCGCTCCTGGATGACCTGATATTGCGCGCGAGCCTTTGCAGACTCTTCGGTTTTTGCTTGCTCAACTGCCTGCTTTTGTTGTTCAAGGCAACTAGAAATTTCTTGCGTATGTTTTTCTTGTTCGTCATGGATCTGGCGGTCTTGATTCTCTAGTTGACTGTTTCGGGTGTCCAGGACCTCTTCGGCGCCTCTCAACTTGTCTTCGAGGCCTCTGATGCATTTTTCCTTTTCATCTAACGATTCTCGGATTTGTTGTTTTTCTGTTTCTAAGTTCCTGATTCGATTCTCATTTTCACCTACGGCCTTGGCGCTAGCTCTCAAATTTGCAAGCTCTTGCTGGAGACTCTTATGCTGATTAAGTTGCGTCCTGGCCTCATCTTTCACCTTGAGAAGTTCTTGTTCAAGCTGACTTGTCTCCAAGCGCAGCGCTTGGTGGTCCAGCTGGACCTGTCCATATTTCTCTTGCCATTCCGAAGCATTTTGCTTGTCCTGGATTTGTTTGCCTAGGCCAGTGCACACTTCGTGGATGGCTAAAATCTCCGCTTTCAAGTCCATTGTGGCCTTTGAAGACAACTCACGATCTGATGCTGCATGTTTGCGAAACTCCGAAAGAACACTAATAATGATCAGTTATCAACCGCTTACAATTTCTGAGATCGGATTTAGCTGCTTACGAATCTTGTACTTCAGTTTGGAGAGATTTCAAGCTCCAGGTCAACTCTGAACGGCTTACTGTGTTCGCCTCGTTGCTTTTCAAGAGTTCCAGAAAGGATTGAACCCTACCCATGTTAGCCTTACTTTCCAGCTTGCAGTACGTCATCTCTACTTACTCTAGTCTCTGCTGATTCAGACAATTCTCTATATGTTGGGCCTGAGTAGCTCCCTCATTGCTCTTCATCATCAGCTCTTGGTTCTGTGCGTTCAGAACCTTGAGTGCATCTTTGTTCATTTCGTGTGACTCCTTCAGCTCTTGACGAAGATCGTTCATATGGTTCTTTTCGTTATCACCCTCTTTCTCCCGTTCTGCTAACTTTGCTTGGAGAGTTGCTATTTCAATGCGTACTAGAACTATTAGCCATGGAAGTAACCGAATCCTAGGTTGGCTTACGCTTCAGTATTTCCTCCTGAGAGAGCGTTCGGACCTCTTCTACGCTCTTCTGAATTCTGCCCCTGATTTCATCAGTCGTAGAAAGAGCTTGCTCAAGTGAACTCTGGTGGTTTTGCTCCGCCTGTTTGATTTGCTCTCTCATCTCATGATACCTTGGTTGGAAATACTTAAATATGTTTTGTTGCTCTTTGGTAGAATCGTTCAAGCGATTCTTATATTCTTTCATCTTGACTTGTAGGCCCTGTCGCCGCTTTTCCAACCCAGTTAGGACATCTTCTTGCTTCTGGTAAATGGCATGCTGCTCTTCATTTGCAGTTCTAAGATCCGTGATCATTTCATCCCGCTTTCGGATCTTTGCAAGATAATCGGCAACTCTGTCATCTCTTTCGGCAAGTTTGTTCATCATATTTTCCATCTTCTCCTCCCAGTGCTTCTTTTGAGAGTCCTCGTGAAGAAAGTAGTTGTTGAAAGATTCAGCAAGTGTACGGCGAGGTGCATTGGTTTCCTGTAGAGTTCGGCCAGTCTGTCCTCTCTGACTGCGTTTGTGAGTTCGTACTATGGGCGCTCGTCGCTTGGATGTGTTTGAAGCTCGCGATTCGGATCGATTGCACACGTTGTACTCCTCGTCCTCGTCTTGAATATATGGGCGAGTCATTTTCACGGTATTGGGTCGATTGTTTCGTGGTTTATGTACCGCAGCTGGGGTTTGGGCTTCTGGGGTCGCTGGAGGTTGATTAAAGGCGGAATCTGAAGCGAGCTGTTCCTGATGTTGCCTCGTTTGAGTATTAGAGACCTCCGGGATATCTGCCGCATCTTGGTGCAACTTTGGTTTATTGAACATAGATGGGGACACTCCACCAACTTGAGACTTGGAATTGTAAGGCGTATGAGTTGACTGAATGAGGGCTTTACGTTGGATGTCTGAAAAAGCCTTTGAAAGCTTAGGTGTCCCCAATTTGGCCGCCGGAGAGCGTATATTCCCCTTAGGACGTTGAAAGGAGGCGGGTATCTTGCTGAAAGGAGAGGTATTTGGGAAAGGCGGCCCTAGTGTTGGATCGTCTTGAGCAGCATCAAGATCTCGGTTTTCGGGACAGTCGTTGCCGGACATAGTATGGTCAGAATGAGTATCACTATGAATCGAAATTGCATCGTATGCCTTCTCTTTCGTCTTCGGCGGCGGTTTGCTGACTTGTGTCCCTAATGCACGTACATCTCTTGCATTATGAAAGAGTCCATCGGCGGTCGGACGATCAGTGCCACGAAACTGATGTAGTGTTCGTACGACACCGTCATTCTTCGAACCGCTCTGGCGGGATATCCCTTTTGGGGGTGCGCTTGGCTGGGCCGGCAAGCTCTTGGGAGTTGGTGCTTTACTATACTGGAAACCATTTTGGAAATCCAGGGGGTTCTCACGCTGGGGGCGACTGATGAACGGGCCTTTGCTCAACTGTAGTGGTTGATCTAGCACATTTGTTTTATGGCCACCATCATTATCGCGCCAGTCAGATGCGACATCCTGTGTCTCCTGAGAATCTTCAAGCGGGGGTAGGAAGTTCGACTCGATAATACCGGAAGCTTGCGAGTCTATCTGATGGTCGAACTGTTCCAACCGATGTAGCTTGGGGCTGGGGTTACCAGCAATTTCTGCTGCCATGATGGGGGATGTTGAAGGGCTAGGCGAATGTAATAATTGAATTCGAATGGTAGAGAGAGTCAGAGGGAAATATTATTTAGGATATGCTTCGACACCTTTGGTAGCGTAAGCTAATGAAGCCCCTAGTAGTTGCTACACAAGGATTTTCAAGTAGGTAGGTAGTGGAAGAATAGCTGCTAGTGCTCCAATATTCCGTAGAGGTTTTAATTATTAGGGATACTCGAGACCACGAGAAAGCTCACATTTGAGGCCGTGGCCATTCGGAACACAGGGTGACGAAACGTTAATGAATACAGAAGATACCAGCAGCCTTTGAAGCACCTGCAGCAGATAGAGAAATGGGGGAAAGAGAGCGGCCCAAAAATCACAGTGTGTGCCTGGAGCCTGGAGACGGGAGTATACCCTCTCGACACGGAAGGCACGCTTACTTGACCTTGTGGCCATAGATGCGACTTCCTACCAAATCGGGAGTTGAACTGCTAAAGGAGAGCTTATACACCGACAAGAAACTGAACACACAAGATATACAATGCTTCAAGGTTGGCCATTGCTCTCAATGTGGATTTGCTATGCATAGACTGTTGTAAGACATGCATGTGTATATACGGCTGATAACTCACCGGTATGAGTAACATTTCCGCTATCAATATATTACCAGAATACCGATGTTGGTATGTACTTGTTGTGGTCATCGCGTGTGGCTCTTTCCGACACTAGGTAGGCCATCTCGCACTCGACACCAGTACACCTTTTCATCAGCTTTCATCCCAACATTGCCCCCGAACATGAAATCAAGATCACCGACAAAAAGGAACGGGCAGCCCGCAAAACAGAAAGGCTTCATTCAATTTGATTTCTCGTCTATTACCTGGATGTTGTTTTTGGGCAACTAGGTACGTGGATAGATTAGAATATTTGGCACTACCTACCTAGATAGGTACTTACTCTAGAAGATGACAACCTCCCAGTTTTCCGGCTAGCACACGAGCATTGTTACACTGCATGTGCACAAGCTAGATAGACTAAATTGTACCTAAGCAACCTTGAGGTTCCAACTTAGATGGCCTGCTGCATAATCTTGGAAGACTTCCAAGTTGATATCTCACGCTAACTCTAGCTCGCTGTTGTTCAGTTGAAATGGCTAATAGGTGATATGACAACCTTGGAACTGGTAGTATACGCCGTCTAGACAACAGCTTTTACTGAATCTGTTAGCGTTTGCGTGTAAGTAGCACTCTAGACGGCAATACAAGGGATGCATATCTTGCCATTTGCTAATAACCTCCCTTCTCCAGATTCCGACGTACCAGGATTCCGCTACATAACTTGCAGGGGCGTCTTCTTTACATACCTAGCCTGCCATGTTCACAGCGCCAAGATATGACGCCTTCTGCCGGTTTGCAAGCCCTATCTGCGCGCGAGACAGCAACTTCTAATATGGATAAACACTTGCCCTATTAACACCTCAACGTTTACCTGCCTATGGGATTGGGATGTCTACTGGGTATATACGTCTTGACCCCTACAATTCAGTACACTTACGAACCAAAAATGGCTCCAGCACACTCAAACTTGGAGACCCTCCCGATCGGATCGATGCGAAGGGGTCAATGTGAAGGGTTCGTGCGTGTGCGAATGATAGGATGGTTCGGTTGCTTGAAATTGGCACGATAGGTGTGTGAATCAGAGAGTGTTGCGGATGTGAAGTTAATTGCTGGAAGTGGTGGTTGTTCGTGATGCTTAGGTCTAGTAGTGCGAGATAAATCAAACCTGTCCGAGTCAACAACAGTTCGATGATTTTCGGGAGCGTTCTAAAACCGTGCTCCGCGCTTCCGAAAATGCATAAGGCTTCTTCAATCTCCTCTTTCTTCGGGAGGTTGAAGTAACTGGTGGGGTTGGCAAAATTGGTTCCTTCTCGCGCTCCCGCAATTATTTCCAATTGGCGCTTTACCGCGGTGTATGATAATTGCTCAGAAAGTTGTCTGTCCGGGGAAATTGTCGATAGGTGTGCTACTACTTTGCGGATATTGTTTCCTTGTTGGATCGGATATTTTCCAAGAACCGCTTCCCAGTATGTCTTTGGGGTCTTGGCGGTAATTCTGTTGCGTCTGCAAGTGCGTCCTTTTCCTTTTGAGGTGAACGCTAGGCTAGGTCTCCTTATACTCTGTGGCTCGTAATTGGTTTTAATTGTCAAGGCTTAAACGGATTCTAGGCAAAAAGATATTGTCTGCTCAGTATGAGGGTCGAACTCATGACCTTCGCATCACCAATGTTATAATCTCTTATAATATTAGTACGACGCTCTAACCAACTGAGCTAACCGAGCTAGCCAACCTGGTTCTCCTGGTGTATGTAGGTGTTGGGATAAGGATGGTTTATATACCAATCAGCTACAGCGTGGATGGCTGCTAGTTACATGATAGCATACTCGGACTCGAAGTAATTCTTCCACGCCTAGCAAAGACAATGATATCAACAGTTACTATTCTATGGAAGCTAATGCTTTATCTGTGCGGTTTAGTTTTGCTGCAATATTAGATAAGCATATGGGCGCTTCAATGATCTCTACAATAAAATGTGCTACACTATTATCACCCTTTAATGTCGATTATGGCCGGAGGTTTTCTGCCCACGTAGTAAGATAACAGAAAACCTAACGTTAAATTTAGAGATCTCTAAGAGGGTTCTAGAGAGAGAGAGCTTGATTGAATAGGTGAGCAGAGGATGTGAAGGGCCCTGGCCAACTCAACAAAGTGTTGAGGATGCTATCTTTGATGGTGAAAATGGACAAATCGTGTCTAGGTTGAAGAAAACAACGAGAGATTGGCGGCGGTTCTTAGAAAGGGGTTTATTATACCCGTTCTTATCCCATCGTTTGATGCAAGGTACAATTGCGAGCAAGACTCCAGGACACAAACAACGTTAATGAAGCTGGATTATAGGCGTGCAAAGCATCCTTTGCCAGCGATGACAATCCCTGCGACAAAATGATTAATGTTTTGGAACGGTTTCCTTTATAACTATATGGTGAGGCGCTTTTTCGTCGGTCTTCATACCAACAACACTCCGCAGGTCAATCACGAATGCGGTCTCGATAAACTCATTGCACGTAACCCACAGCGATCGTGGCAGGCCGAGGATGTTGTCAACAGAAACATTGACACTGTCGTATTCCAACAGTCCGCGATCATGGGAAAAGGAAAAACCACGCCGCCAGTCGCTCCCGCAAAGCTCATCGCAGATATCGAAGACTACCTCGCGGACCACCAGGCCAAGTCGGACGAGAATGCAGCGGTTCTATCTGTGGCTATGTGCGTATTTTTGATCTGTTCCATTTTCGAATGCAGAAGCTCTTCGTGTACTTGGCGGGCGGTGATACATCCTTGGGCAAGGTAACCTGACAATTTAGTGCTATAATCCATTCCTAGTAACCCATTGCGTGAGGCTTTATACGCTGAGGCATTGCCCGACTTGATTAAACAAATCAGTCAGTTTAAAGCATTGTCCTCGCCACCGCGGAAAGGATGGGCAGATCTGCCCTCCTCGGCAACGGCGACTTTCAGACATTTGACTCAACAGGACGAAGTAGAGCTGCTTCAAATGACTCAAGAGACGATGGAATCTCGAAGGGATGTACAAGGCGACCCCCAAACCTTGGCCTTGCGACGCCAAAACGTGTGGACGGAGTGGGTGCCATTTGGTTTCACAATAATGGTGTACTCTCGTTCGTAGCCCTTGGTTTCATCCCTTATATCAGCCGCTGATTTAATCATGTCTTCTTCACCCGTCCTTTGATATAGGGCGAAAGTTTCTAGCTCTGCGCGCGATTGACCCACTGCCAAGTGCCCTCGACAGTCTTGTTTGGATGGTTGCCATCGGGATAAGTAACAAGAAGGACTGTCACCAAAAATGGTAGAGTAATATGGGTTCAAAACATAGATAAATTAGAAAGGAAGACTGTCGACCCAACATGTAGGAGAAATGGCAAGTCTACTACAAGTAAGATGGTATACACCCCATGATGATGTAATGGTCAGACGACTACAGCAACAAATAAAGTACATTCTGTTGTTTCAAGGACAAATGCTCTACCACGTTGTTTCTATTAAGATAATTAATCAGTTTAACAACCTTTGTTACGCGGCCCTTAGCATTATTAATAGCGGAAATAACCCAAACAGCATTCACAACACCGACTTACAATAGAGGGGGGAAACGCCGAAACAACTTGCTAGTGTTGTTTCAACCGCATCGGCGAATTTGAGAAAAGCATAAGTCCTCATATTGGTCAGCTGGCAGGGTGTTGGCCTTATCATTCAAGAAAGGAAGACACGCGCTCGAAGAACAATGATAGCTTTTCGTTACGGCGCTTCACGCCGTCAATCCCGACAACATCCAGCTGGAAAGCTGTTCTGTCCCAGAGCCAGCGATTGTGGTGTAGGTTGAACAGCTCTTGAATCTTCCCGTGAGCAGCGATTTCTGCCCAGATGCCGGTTAACTGGGTGGAAATCTTCGATTCTACTGCTAGCTGCTTAATGTATTTAGACTAGACAATCGTCTGTATTTTGTTGTAAATCGTTGCCGGCATGTAGTTAGTTCACATTTACTCGTACTACAAATAGCCAATTTTGAGAATAGATATCCAATGATCCCGCGATAGGTAATACGATACCAGAGCGTAGTGCGTCTCAGAGTACCTAGTCGGGGCTCATCGGCGCGGGCGAATCAATTACGATGCGGGACTATGCATGACAGGCTGCCGCAACGGGTTTCTCCAGGTCTGTGTTTGGGCCCATCTATGCTATAATTATGTACATGGATGCGCCAGCAACTGGGTTCCGTGCCGGATGGGCGGTAGATGAGGCCGTGTATGTCGGGGGCTAGGTAGGCGGTGGCTGAAGAAAATGCGACCTACCTACCTACGCTGAATAGGACCCTCCCTTTTACTGCATGGATAATGGAGATCTTCAGAGCTTTAATTAGTATAGCAAGAGCCTAACCTAGATGCGCTGTGATTCCAAACTGAACGAGATCGTCAACGTGAAAGAATAGATAGAATTGGAGCAAGTGGTATAGCCGTCAGCGAATTTTGCCGGGGTCAACGAACAACCTATCTCCCGTGATCGGACTCTCTCAAGATGTATACTAGCACGTCGCCTATATAACTCATTTTATCGTAAACCGTACTGACTTTTTATTGTAGACAGACGGATCGACGCCATGGAACAAACTCATCACGCCGGTGACAGTCGCCAGCGACAGATGTGACGGGGAGGTGTCTGGGCGGCGGCCAAGACCAGCGCACCCCGGTCCCGGGTCTCTGATTGGCCCACCCACGCAGACAAACGTTGGAAGCGCCAGTATCTGGGCGCTTCGGTCTCCAATGACATGAAAACAGAGCACACTTTTATCGCCTTGGGTTTCATAGGTCTGGTACCTGCAGGCCCAATTGGGGCCTAGGGAGATGCCGTCAGGGTCCTTGGGTGCCGGCAGCAATGTGCGAAGGTAACTCTGATATCAATCAAGTCTGCATACATCTATACTAGTCTGCCCTGCACAACTCATCACATCTCTTCACCCAAATGCCTGTCACGAGCCACTGAGTCTTGAGTCTACCTTCTGCCCCCGCCGTACACTATCGACTAATAAGGTATTGTCGGTGCTGTCGTTCGCTTGCAACCCGTTCAGTCCTTCCTTTCTTCGCGTTTAACCACGGTCCTACGAGTAATTGACATCGCTGGCCGGTGTGTTATCAAATAAGACCAAGAACACTTCTATTACGCTGGTTCGGTTCGTAACCCTCGCCATGGCCACCAACACCGCGGATTTCCCCTTGGCAACGGATGACCCGTACGCGGGGACTGGTCCTGCGCCGGGCGCCGTTGACGATTCTGCGGGTGCCGCTGGTTCGAGCCCCGGGGCTGTTCAACTATCGCATGGTGCATTGATTGCAATCATCGTCGTTGTGGCAGGTGTTGTCGTTCTCGGCAGTGAGTATATCCTATTTTAGACGCTTGTGAAAAAGCATCCCCATAGCTGACTACGTACAGTCTCGACTGCTGTACTTTTCTACCTGGCCAAGAAGCGGGAGTGGAAGGTCCGGGAGAGCATCAGGCGGTCGGCAAGGAAGGTGGTCACTGCGTTGACGCCTCGTCGATCAGAGTTTCCAAGATCTATCAAAGAGCCATCAGGAAGATCATCTCGAGGACGTGTTCGCCTCGACGACGTGCCTCCGACACCTAAAATTCGACCCGAGGATGTTGAAAAAGGGCTTGCGAAAGCGGGCTTCCGACAAGTTTCCGAAGGACGGGGAAAGAAATGGACGAAGAAGTAAATCTGCCAGTCGATACAAGGGAAGCGGCGTGCTGGGGCACTCAACGAGCTTGATGGATGGGCACTGTAATTTTGTCTTGGACGAATGGATCGCGAGAGATGGAGCCAATTCTAGTCCCTATGCTAATGTTTTTGTATTTTTTTTTATATGGAGCGACCGGATATCAAAATCGCCTTAAAACATTTCCGCTAGCACTTCGTCTTGCTGCGGACCGCTTCTCTTCTGATTTTGATGCTGTCGGCTGGTCCGCCTCCTCCTTTTTCTTTTTCGGCTCTGGTGCGAACGTAATTTCTTTGTCGCCAACTACGTCGCCGCCTCTAGCTCTATCTGGACGGCCTGGTTTTTGGGTCCTAGAGCCGAATGCCATATCTCGATCCCGTCTCCCACTTTCTTGATTTGAAGAGCTGACACGCATAACAACCGAGTCTCTTCTCGCCTTCTGAGGTACATCTTCAGAATCGTCACTCTCGTCACTACTACTGCCGCTACCCTCGTCGCTCTCTGAGAAGGTATTTGTAGGAGCAATAGGTTTACCTGATTCGGGGTCAACCTGTGTGCTTGGGTTGAGTGCCTTGAATTCTCCACTGTTCTCATCAATTCGGAACTCTTCATTCTCGAACATCCGGCTGAAACGTTCGTCTCCGAGAATGCCGGCATTCGTATCAACCGTAGCTCGCTTCTCTTGTCGCTTGAGCAGCTTGTCGACAAGTCTCTGGTTAACCTTGACCTTCTTATTGCCACGAATACGACTGGCTCGTTCCTTCTCAACCTTCTCCTTGACGCGTTTGGCACGCTCCTCCTCGAAAGCAAATGGATTGGCGATTAATCGAGCTTGCTCATATAATTTCGAGGCAACAAAATAACCATGCATATAAGGTCGCAGCAGATTGGTCTTGCCGATTAGGTGGTCCATGCTGAGAGATTTCAACTCGGGTAGCGTCAAGAACTTGTAATTCTCGTAGTTGTCTGTTGCCACCTCGCTCGCCATCTCT